CAGGTGTGACCCCAGCCCCCCCCAGCTGTCCCCAGGTGTGTCCAGGTGGGCTCAGGTGTGTCCCCACAGGTACGTGTTCGAGAACGTGGGTCTCAAGCGCATCCTGACCATCAATAAATGTTCTCTGGCCGACGACGCCGCCTACGAGTGCCGGGTGAACGACGAGAAGAGCTTCACCGAGGTGTTCGTCAAGGGTCAGTGACACCTGGGGACACCTGGGGACACCTGGGGACACCTGGGGGGACATGGGGACACCTGGGGGGACACCTGGGGACACCTGGGGACACCTGTGAGGACATGGGGACACCTAGGGACACCTGGGGACACCTGGGGGGACATGGGGACACCTGGGGGGACATGGGGACACACTTGGGGACACCTGGGGGGGTCTGGGGTCACCTGGGGTCACCTGGGGCACACCTGGAGGGGTCTGGGGACACACCTGGGGACACCTGGGGACACACCTGGGGAGATCTGAGGGGGGGTTTTGGGGTGGTTTGGGGACCCCCTGGAGTCACCTGTCACCTGTCCCTCACCTGTCTTGTGTCCCCTCACCTGTCACCTGTCCCTCACCTGTCTTGTGTCCCCTCACCTGTCACCTGTCCCTCACCTGTCCTGTGTCCCCTCACCTGTCACCTGTCCCCTCACCTGTCACCTGTCCCTCACCTGTCACCTGTACCCTCACCTGTCCCTCACCTGTCACCTGTCCCCTCACCTGTCCCTCACCTGTCACCTGTCTCCTCACCTGTCCCCTGTCCCTCACCTGTCCCCTCACCTGTCACCTGTCCCTCACCTGTCCTGTCTCTCACCTGTCCTGTCTCTCACCTGTCCCTCACCTGTCACCTGTCCCTCACCTGTCCTGTCCCTCACCTGTCCTGTCTCTCACCTGTCCTGTCTCTCACCTGTCCCTCACCTGTCACCTGTCCCCTGTCCCTCACCTGTCCCCTGTCCCTCACCTGTCCCCTGTCCCTCACCCGTCCCCTGTCCCTCACCTGTCCCTCACCTGTCCCCTGTCCCTCACCTGTCCCCAGAGCCGCCGGTGACGATTGTGAAGGGTCCCGAGGACCAGCAGGTGGTGGTGGGCGAGCGAGCGGTGCTGGAGGCCGAGGTGTCCGAGGAGGGCGCGCAGGTCATGTGGTACGGACGGACGGACGGACGGACGGACATCTGGGTTTCCATCCGTGTCCGTGTGTCCATCTGTGTCCGTGTGTGTGTCCACGTGTGTCCGTGTGTCCATCTGTGTCCGTGTGTCCATCTGTGTCCGTGTGTCCATCTGTGTCCGTGTGTCCATCTGTGTCCGTGTGTCCATCTGTGTCCGTGTGTCCATCTGTGTCCGTGTGTCCATCTGTGTCCGTGTGTCCATCTGTGTCCGTGTGTCCATCTGTGTCCGTGTGTCCATCTGTGTCCGTGTGTCCATCTGTGTCCGTGTGTCCATCTGTGTCCGTGTGTCCATCTGTGTCCGTGTGTCCATCTGTGTCCGTGTGTCCATCTGTGTCCGTGTGTCCATCTGTGTCCGTGTGTCCATCTGTGTCCGTGTGTCCATCTGTGTCCGTGTGTCCATCTGTGTCCGTGTGTCCATCTGTGTCCGTGTGTCCATCTGTGTCCGTGTGTCCATCTGTGTCCGTGTGTCCATCTGTGTCCGTGTGTCCATCTGTGTCCGTGTGTCCATCTGTGTCCGTGTGTCCATCTGTGTCCGTGTGTCCATCTGTGTCCGTGTGTCCATCTGTGTCCGTGTGTCCATCTGTGTCCGTGTGTCCATCTGTGTCCGTGTGTCCATCTGTGTCCGTGTGTCCATCTGTGTCCGTGTGTCCATCTGTGTCCGTGTGTGTGTCCACGTGTGTCCGTGTGTCCATCTGTGTCCATCCTGTGTGTCCGTGTGTCCATCTGTGTGTCTGTCTGTCCATCTGTGTCCGTCCGTGTGTCCATCTGTGTCCGTGTGTCCATCTGTGTCCGTGTGTGTCCATCTGTGTCCATCCTGGGTGCCAACTTGTCCTC